ACCTCTCTCATTATACTTTTTATAGACATTGCTCTGGCTGTTAGTGCATCAGTACAACTGCATTGGTTTTGACATCTTTACATAGATCATTTAATCATGTCTCTAGTTCCCCTTACATGGAACTTACATTGTGCCCATCAACAAGTCATTCCAAAACTATGGGTGCTAACAGCCTCCTGTCTACTTGTAACACACCTGAATGCAGGGATTTGTTCCTATTCTGCCGCAAGAGCATCAGTGAAGTCCAACACTGATGTTGGCTCACATAGACCTGGTCCAAACCATCCTAACGGTGTTGGATGAGGTTGAGGTCAGGGCTTTCTGCAGGGCCTGGAAACCTGAGTGTTGTCTTTAAATGCAGATTTTTGGATCTCCTAAACTAAAGAGCACAACCCATGGGAAACATTCCCAGAGCAAAAGTACAAGTATGTGGCCATATAGTGTATCATGGAGGATGGATGGCAAACATCTCTGAAGGACATACACGGTGAAACAAGTGTGATAGAGTGGGGTCTGAATTACTGCCTCGCAGTAAATTAATAGCACAGAGTCACACTCTCAGACAGAGAGAAGAGCGATCGGATGAGTGCTGAATAATGACACACAGAGAAGCAGTAATCTCTGACTAGCACACTGATCTCAGCAGGTTAGAGCAAGGACATGAAAGAATAAAAAAGTGCAAGCTGTAGCTGACGAAGTCGTGAGGCAAACCACCAAGGATTAAAGTTTGTCATAAAAAGAGATAAGCAACCTTTACCCCCTGTAAGTGTATCCTGTAACCTCATTTTGACTCATGCCCCAACTTCAACATGTCTGCTAATGTAACATCCACACAGCAGGCTACAAGTAAATGCACACACACACACTGAGAGTTTGCTAAGCATATGAGGCAGCAGAGCAGCAAACGCGTGCCTCCACAATAGATTTCTGAGGATGTACGCTTTGAGAATAGCTGAGCTGCAGAATCACTGAGCGCTTTCATTTGCAGTTGAAAAACAGCCCAAGGAAAATGGGAAGCTTTTGGTGTGAGGAGTCTCTTTTCTCTCCTCTCTCATCTCTTTCTATGTTTTGTTCCTCTGTTGCCTGACTGCGCTGAACTGAACTCACGGAGCCACGTTGCCCTTCTTTTATTATTATTATTTTTTTAAATGGGAGAGTTTGGAAATGAGTGCTTCTTTAAAAAAAAGCAGTATCTCTGTTTTCTCTCCGTCTCTTTCAGCTGGTGTTTGCCAGAGATAAGCTCTGTAAAGAGTGTCTCTGTCTGCATGTCGACATAGAGTATACACCTCAGTGACCGTGTCATTCATCTCTCTTTATTGGAGCTTGTGGGTGTGTATGAGCATGTGTGTTTGTGTGATAGATGCAGTTCTCTGGGGAGAAGTTTGAGACTTTAAAACACACACATGCGTAACTGTACGTCTCTTGCTGGCTTTATGGACGGACATCTCTCGTCCCTCCACTGTCAGCCGCAGCTCTGGCAACGCGCCCTGTGTTTCGCAGCGCTAGCCGGCAGATTGATCCGGCTTTAATGAAGAGTCCTTCAGCCTAGGTGACATCATTAGCTGGTTGTGGGCCACTGTGGGCCACTTGGCGCGGCTCCTCGCTTCACTTCTGGGAAAATGGGTCATTTTGAGTGACAGACAGACAGTGGCCAGGGGAGCCGGCCAGCAAACTAGACAGAGGGGGTATGCCAGGCGTCGGCATGATGATGCCCTTCAGACACCTGTGCCTGTATTCACAAAACATTTTATCTCTCGACCAAAAGTACTTCTGAGGAGCCCTCCACAGTTTTAGTGAGTGAACGCAAATCTCAGGCCAACTTTAGTAAGCTGATTTATGCCACTGCTGGTTTATGACTGCATTCTTTTTTTCTTTTTTGCCCATATTCTTTATAAAAACCCAGAGAAGCGACATAATTTGCTAATAAAGTTAGTATTATGGGAATTATAGTAATAATTTCTGAATGTACTGTTAATGCTCATTGACTGTCATGTGAAAACCATAACATTATTTCTTGTTTTCTTCAATACAAAATACCTTTTACAGGGTCCCCAAGTTTGTGTCCTATTTTTAAGTATGTAAACAAATTTGCGAGCACACAAATATGAACTTATATGGAGCTAGATCTTTTAACATAGAAAACCTTTAAGTCTCCCTATTATAAGGTGGATATTTTTCATTCTCAGATGGAGATTGATGGTGAGGCCTCTCTGACCTCTGACCTGAGGTAATTCAATATACTGTATTTGGCATTAAACTTGATTAAGGCCATAACAAAAGCCACACATATGTGTTGTTCTCAGTCTAAACGTGTAAAATGATTGGCTTTATCACAGTGCTGTGGGCATCAAAGGTCAATTGAGGCCAGTCAAGGTCAGAAGGTGCTACATTTTAAAAATTTTTCATACCACAGCAAAGTCATGTTTAGCTTTACAGGGAACTAATGGGGTAAGCACCACCTGTGTGGGCCTCTAAGCTAGGTTAAACAAACACTAAGATTTATTTGTGAATACAAATAGACCTAGATCTGATACAGACTGGGCTATACAACTAACAGTATCACATTTATGGTGCTATGCACTCACACTGAACGGAAGGCAGAGAGTACAGGAAAATCAGAGAGATGTGGTTTGGAAGAAAGCTGGACCTGAGGAGGCTGCAGAGCCATCTCATCCATCTAACTGTCAGCATCTCACCAGGCAAAAATCACCAAGTTGTCCTGTCTGCCCCCCACTCGCACCCCCTCCCTCCCTCCCTCTCCATCTCTGCCCTGTATTGCCCCCTGTCCTCTTCTCTTTCCACACAGATATATGCAGACACAAACACAAACACACACCCCTGCGGCACGGTAGCTGAACATTGTAAATTTAGCACAGCAGCTGTTTTTGCCTGCCATAAAAGCGACACCCCTGTAGCTCTTCTCTCACTCCCTGCTCCCCCCTTTACCCTATCCTGAATCATTTCCTGCATCCACACACTGCCCATCCATTTGTCCATATATACTGTATGTACCTCCAAGGCTGCTGTTTTAAAAAGAACGTATAGAGCACTTCCAAGTGCATCAGTCTTTACAGCCTGCCTGTGGCTCTGAATGTTTGAGCTCATGTGCATTGTATCTGAGGAATCGTGTGCACCGTGAATGTGTAGATAATGTGTGTGCATGCCAACTTTAAACTTTGCATGAACTACTGTGAGTGTGTGCTGCTTGAAGTTGCAGATAATGCACTAGTCAAAATTACGGGAAGAATAAAAAACAAAGAAGACAAGGAATTATCAAACTGTGCATGTTTACATGTTTATTAGTGGTAACTAAATGCATATGACTAATGTTATGTGAAAAACATGCCTTTAAATTTAAATTTAAATCTTGTGTGGGGCTAACATGTATTTCTTTAAATGTATTTTCACCAAAACCACCAAAAATTAAAGGGGTTGTCTATGAACGTGGAACATTACATTAACATCATCCAGCTATCAATACTCACAGTAGCACTTGCAACTTAAGAATTAGGGTGGGGTCTCTCAGATTTCTTGTGCCCAATAGCAAGATTGCTATAGAATTTCCATGGAAACCGCATAACCCCCCCCCCCCATCCACTTAACAATCCCCCAGATGCCTAATTGTTTCCCTAATGATGCTAGGCCTAATGGGACTGTTTATGGTGTTCATTTGATAGCGCTGGCCCAGTAATTAGACTACACCTCACTTCATTAAACAGCAGGGGGGAGGGATGGCGCATGGTGGCACATCCAGTATATGCACATACAATAGCACAAGTTAATTTTTTAACACAGTCCCCATGACGGACATGCACACACCTAGAGACACACATACAGAAAACATACCGGAGAGAGCACAGTGTTCTGGAGGAATGACTACAGCACTTTACATTCCGGTTACGGCTCATATGCTTGCAGTTTCTCACAGACATTTCTTACCAGCACCTCCTATCATTAGCTCCATTGTACAGTATAGTGTTATACTGTGCTGGCAAAGGGCTTCAATCAATATCCATGAGTTCTCTCGAAGTAAACAAGATGCTGAACTCATCGCTGGTTACATACTGCAACACCCTCCAGATAAGAAATTCAGATAAATAAACCGCCTTGAGTTCAAATGTAAAAGTGGCCTACTGTTCCAGTAAAGAACAGACTTTAATGTTTATTCTACAGCATATATTTCAACACTCCTGTGAGCAAGCGTAGCAGCTCCTAGTCTGGATGGTAATTTATTGACGTAACCTGCCAGAGCACACTTGGCAATGTACATGTATCATACCTAAATGCACTTGTAAGATGAATTAGTGAGAATGAGAAGATTTTCAGACAATTTCATTTATGTGCGTTCAAAACAGAAATAGCTTCATAATGTACTTGGCTGAGCTTATAGAAACTGTGGGGATAGTTAAGGGAAAATCGACAATAGAGAGCAATTACACAACTGTCTAATTTACACTTTAAATCATGTGTGCGAGCAAGCTAGTCACCATCTAAGGCTCAGCAGGGTAAACACACTCCTCTCCTTCTGTCTCTGTCCATGGTGCTGAAACTCTCCAACCTGTTAATAACTACCTAAGAGGCCGAAACTTTCTTTTGCTGCAACTGCATTCACTCCCTCTGTGCTCTACAGTCTACTTTAAATCATCTTTAACTATTTTTAGCGTCTGATTTCTGACATATCGGCCCAAAAATTTTGAGTGTGTGATTATGTACTATTTAGTTCCTGAAACAATTTCCAAAATGGGATGAAAAAAGTAGTGCCCACTATGGGAAATACACAATATGTTTTAATAACAAGCCTATGATGCAATGTGTTACATTTCATACATGCAAAGATTGTCAGTGGTGATGTACATTGAATGTCTGAAGTATCAATCTAGTATTCACCAACGCACTCATGGTTGAGTGGTTGTTAAAGGTTTAGCCTTCAGCTGTATTAAGGGTTCTGAAACAAACTTTTTGTCTCTCTAGGGTCCTGAAACCCAAATATATGTTCATACCTTGAGGAAGGAGAGGTTGCGGTTTCGATCGATGCTGGTAATCTCCAAATTGCCCATGACAACTTCACAGTTCTCGTAGAGCTTCTTGAGGGTTCGGTACTGCTGGTCCAGGTCAGACAGGGTGCTCAGCTTGTTCTCGGTGCCAGGACAAACTAGAGACAGAGACAGAAAAAAAAAACTGTGTGAAAAAGGTGTCACTTCTGTTGTTTGGAGCAAGTTGGCATGCTGAAATATGATGACAAATTCAGAAAGGCAAGTTCAAACTCAATGGGTAGAACCAAAGATTTTCAGAAAAAGGGTAGAATTTAAAATTCAATGAGGGTAATTTAAAAACAAGTATAATTAATGATGGTCATTATCTTGAAATTCCAACTTGATCACATACAGTAGGCTACCATACTGTAGCTGCTTATAAAGGTCAGACGGCCAGCTAACCTAGCTTTTTCAGTGAAAGCAGTAAAATTGACGTGACATATCTCTTTTGCCAGGAAAACTCTTCTTTGACTGTACTTACTGGGGTTTTAACTAAAATACCAGACTGCAGATGCATGCTTCAATGACTGCTGAATAGCAGATTCTCTGAAAACTGTTAGAATCAGTGAGATAATGAATGGAGGATGAAAGAAAGAGGGCGGAAAAGAAAGAAGACATTCAGGATTGGGGATTTCAGGGCTGAAACTATGCACTGTGTGAATATGAGATACAGGCAGAGGCGAAGAAAGGAAATAAAGGGAAGTGAAACAGGAAGTATTGAAGGACAGAGGGAATAGTGGCAGAGAAAGAATGGGTCGGGAGATTACATAAATTGCTAAAAAGAGTGCAGAGTGCGGCAGACGTGACCCTCGACAATGAGGGAGCTGCAAGAGTTGAGACTCGGGGAGGGACAAGTGGGGTGAGAGGGGTGGATATCATTTCTCGGAGGCAGTGACCTACAGTCTGGGTCTGGCACCGGCACACCGTTTAATCAAAGATATTCAAATTGCATTGGTTGACCTTTACAGAGGGTTTTCACTTGGAGACTTTACTCGGCCGACGAGATTACAAGACTTTGAAGATATTATAGTGAGTAGAAACAGCTCTATTGGTGTGTGGGAAGGCCGGGGCAATTAGAAAACTGGTACATTTTTCCATCGGTTTCAGCCACACACACACAAACAACCATGAAAGCGGAGGAACACACAGTCACACACCTGTCTCTAACATCTCTGATAGCTTCCAACAGCCTCTGGCAAACATCCTTTCACCAATCAGTGCTAATAGCACTGACACCTACAACTAAATAACATATATATTGAGCTCCGCTTGTTATTTTAGCCATTAGAAGGTGCAGAAAATAGGTACTAATGTTGGTCTACATGACTGAAAGTTGCTGTTACATGGCATTGAATAATATATAAACATGTTATCCTTCCTTAAAAATACCTTTAACAATCTTGAGGAAATAGGTTTATTTCTTAATCTTTAAATGACAGATCATTTACTCTGTGATCTCAAACCCCACCACAACAAACAAACATATAGCGTCTGTAAATGATTGTGTTTGTCCGTGGTGCTAATGATAAATGCCTGACAATGGACTAATGCAGAGGCTACCACTGCAATTAGTTCCTCCTATTTCCACCCATCAAGAGCTCCTTCCGTCCCTGCCAGCCTTTCCACCAGTCAGTCCTGCTACCATCTGCTCAGTTCAGCTGGCACCGTCGCCACCTTAGCACAGGCATGACTCGAGGTTTGTGTGTTGGTGTGTGTAGATACCGAAATGAAGCTTGGCTCAATGTAATTAAAACTGCTGATTAAAGTTTGTCAGTGGCTCAATTTTGAATAGGTCTCACTTTAGAATCTGAATTTCATTTAGCCAACAATTGCTACTGGTGACTGGTGATTTGGTCTGTAATAGTGGGCAAGGAAATATTATTATTCCATGCTTCATATTCTTTGCCTGACCCTATTCAAACCTAATCTTTACTCATTTTCAGAAATGTTGTTTCTGCTGAGAAAGCCCCAAATTGATTGACCTGCTTTGGGATTTTGTTTTAGAATCTACTGGCAAATGGGTCTCTGAGTGAACGTCCTATAATTATGTTTTCCTGGGCTACCTCTTGTGGTTGTGTAAGCAAGTAATAGCTGTCCAACAATGCAACAACAAAGCCTGTAACTACAGCACTGAATATTTGTGTTTAAACCCTTCTTAGTTCTCCATATGCAACCATATTTACCTCAACCAATAAATCACAAACCACAAGGACAGGGCAGAACATTTTCATAAGGGTTGCTTTTAAATGACATAACCACATAGTCACTTGGCTCCAGTTCTGTTTCCTATGATTAACTATATGTCTCTTAAGTAGTTTTGCTGTACTCAACTTCAATTCACTGCGTACTGTATGTTGGATTCTGTGTATCTTGTGCTGTAGTCAGTAGTACTCTGGTCTGTGTTAACAATACTACTGGTACTTCTTTCTTTATCAGGGTATCCTTCAACTGTTCTGTATATCTTTCTTTATATTACACCTCCAATGTCAAACACCTGCACTCTCAGGACTCTCTGTGCAACTTCCTCTGCTTGAAACTGGTTCCAACTTTTTGGATGTGGATACTTACTGGTTTTCTTAGTTTTATATAATTGAAAACTGAATAACTTTAGGTTTCAGTTGGACAAAAGAAGGAATTAGAAGATGTTACCTTTTTGGCAATTGCAATATTTTCCAACACATTTTGGACCAAATGATTAATTGAGAAAATAATTGACAGATCAATTCATACCAAAAACGAGATCATTGGTTAAAAAGGGTCAAAAGAATGAACATAAATGTGATTTTAAAGTAAAGTTGAAGGCTGTCTGTCATTTCACCGTTCGTCACGTCCTTTAAATACACATGCAGTACACTTTCCATCATCCAAAGTTCATATGCTCTACATCCAAACTACAACAAAAAAGAGGGAAGAAAACCAATGGACTATTGCATAGCATAGTTGAACTTGCCTCTATATTGAACAACATTGAGAGCTCATAAACTCCCATATTGCTTTATGGATCGTTGGCTCTGCAAAGATGAGCGCATTTCCTCCCCTCTGTGATCCTCCATATTGCTGTGGGTACAGGCTGTGTGGAACAGAATGGCAGTGAGGGGACCTGAGCTATGATGATAAATGAGATTTGCTGACCACACACACACACACACACACACACACACACACACACACACACACACACACACACACACACACACACACACACACACACACACACACACACACACACACACACACACACACACACACACACAGTTGAATTATTAGATGAAATGATTTGAGAGCGGCTACAAACTCAAAGGAAGCCTGTGTGAGGGTCTAAAATTGGTGGGATCGATAAACGTATGTGTGTGGAGATGAAAGGTTAGCGGGCGTCTGTAATAATCTGTTATTGAAACCTACTTGGAGGTGTGTGCGCGAGTAAATGTCTACGTGTGGTGATAAAAGATCAGAGGGGAGAGGTGAAAAGTGAGGGGGAAAACAACTCTCAAAAGCCAATATCGGCCTGACAGCACACACACAAACACACACCCAAACAAAGAGAGAAATGGTACTCATTCAGGGTGAATAAGCAAGGCAAAGAAAATAGAATTGAAAGAGAGAAAGAAAGAGAGACACAATCTTGTATTTGTGAGAGTGGGAATGACGTCCAGGAGCATTAGCATTCATATCGACACGCTCTACTGTAAATGCTCTTTTCTCTGGGCTCATTTCGAAAGTGTCTAGATCCATCTGCTCTACCTCTTCCTCTCTCTCCGTTCCTAATTTCTTTTTCTCTGCCCATAGCCATCTATTTCTCTATCTCTGCCCCTCTCTCGCTCCCTCCCTTCTCAGGCTCAGCGTTGGACAATGTAAGTATTGAGCTGTTGCCTTTTTCCCCGTTAATGCATCGGGTGACACGGGGCCACGTCCACTTGACAGCTCCGGTGTGTGTGCCTGTGTGCGTGGGTGTGTGGCGGTGATGGTGGGGGCAGATATGTGCCAATCAGGGAAATGTAGGCAGAATATCTCCACAGTTGTGTCTTTGCATGGACAAAGACAGGCGAGGCATCTCGTTCATCCAACCTTGATTTCTTCAAACCTTGAGGGTAATGCTTCTCTAACCTTCTCCAAGCAAAACTACCAGCAAAACCAAGGTATCACAAGGGTGACAGTGCAAAAACAAAGCTCATAAGGGTTGTCTTATTTTGAAACCGTGGTTTTATTTTACAAAGACATCCTGTTCTCTCATGTCTCAGGGCTGATTTCTGTTCTCATGGTAAAAATGTTTTTGACTGGCTGGCAGGTGGCCGTTAAATCATAAAACAGGACACCTCAAACTTGCTGCAGTCAACAGTTTTATCAATCTGGTGAAGGAAATGGACCACCATTTTGCCCCTTTTCTTGTCTGCTATTTTCAGACACTTTGTCATGTATCACAGCTTACATACAATTTATTCAGACAGTCAGAAAGCTTTTTGCTCTTTCTGTAAAGCCCCATGATGTATGCCCTGTGCTGAAATGCATTGGTTGAACAAAAATACTCTTCCATTGAGTTTTCCCACATTAAGTCCTCTGTTACTTAAGCACCGAAGAACGAAAGGATAAAGAGTGAGTGAGCTCTTTGCAATACTATTGCATAGTACAATTCTTGGGGATTTTCATGCCCTCAGCAGTCCAATAGTGCAGATACCAGACTCCCATGACTCAATGGCTTCACTAGTCAGTTTCATCATTCACTTTGATGACATCCATGTCTTTAAAACGAACAGATAATGAGCAATAATGAGAGAAAAGACTTGAGTTGGCAGCAATTGATGCAAGATTTTTTTCCCCCATTTGGTCTCCGTCCAGCTCAAATACAGATGGAGTGTGTGCATTTTATGCTTGCGTCTGTGTACCTTTTTCTGTAAATACATTCTGTGCCAAAGTGTGTGTGTATTCTGGCTCCATGAGGCTTGTGTATGTGTTTGAACCCATGCATATGCATTGAATTAACAAAACTTCTACCAGCTGCATAACCCAGTTTCGCTGCTGTGCCGTGCATCCCTTCAAGTCGCTTCTCTAGCTGAAAGTGACTGAATTTAATCTCCCTAAACTGAATTACAGCTTAATCTTGCCTCACATCATTCTTCCTGGA